CTCCATCTCGATCGCGGACCTCCGGTTCATCCATCGGCTCGGCAGTGGGGATATCGGGAGCGTGTATTTGGCCGAGGTGAGGGGCGGCCGCGACGGCGGTGTGGTTGTGGCGGCGAAGGTGATGGATAAGAAGGAACTGATCGGGAGGAATAAAAGCGCTAGGGCCAAGACGGAGAGGGAGATTCTTGAGATGCTCGACCATCCGTTTCTCCCGAAGCTGTATGGATGCGCTGAGAACGAGAAGGTGACTTCTCTTCTCACCGAGTTCTGCCCCGGCGGCGATCTCCATGTTCTCCGGCAGCGCCAGCCGGGTAAGCGGTTTGATGAGCACGCTGTCAGGTGAGGGAGTTGCCATACTCTCACTGGTTTAAACTTTCTAATTTCGGTTCTGTAATTAATTATCTATTTTAGGTATTTTTTTTCCATTAATTTCTTCGAGCAACTGTAGAACTGATTTTAGAGAAAAATTTGAACGTACGCTCGTGAGGGAAGTTATTTAGAGAGTTTCAGGGTTATATCCGCATTATACCCCTGTAACTTTTATATAACCTACTTGTAATTTCTATTAAGTTTCTTGCTTACAATAGATTACATGTAGTTTATAAATAAACTACATGAAGGGAGGTTACAGAGGTATAATACGGTTATAACGCAGACGTAAGTGCTGCGGACTCAAATTTTTCTAAAGAGTGAAACCAGTTGCTCGGTTGATTCCATCGATTTAATCTAATTTTTATTTATTTTTATTAATTTCCATAAAAATTTGCTGCCAAGAATGTTGATGTTTAGTTTTGACCTTCTGAAACCTTAAAAACTGACTCCATATATATATATAAAAGATGTTAGATTTGAATTTTAAATTTAAATATAAATATATAAATAATATATCTAATATTTTTTTATTTCGCTTATTTATAATTTGAGCTTTAAAAAAAAATATTTACTTTAGAAGAAAGATTCAAACGTGAGCCAATCAGTTTTTTTTTATTTTTTAGCTCTAATTATATTGACAGTTTATAAATATATAAATATTAAAAATATTGAACATGCACATCTTATGTAGGCTGTAGCCATATATGAGGGCAGCGTTAACTATTAGGCGAAATTTCAATACTCTCAAGAATTGCTTATTTATTTCGGCTTGCTTCATTGTGTTTGATTCTTTACAAGACGGAAAATGACAATTTAGTGCAATTACGTAATTTTATATTCTAATCCCCTGCTTACGATGGAAAATATTTGCGTACATAAGACGTACACAACGCTGCGTACGTTCAAGGGTTATTCAGGGGGTACATGGGGTTATATCAAGATTATATTCCTCTGTAACCTCTTTTTAAACTACCTGTAACCTACAAATGAGTTCCACGCTTCTGTAGTTTCATGGATATAAATAAGTTACACAGATGTTACAATGGAGTTACACGGAGGTTACAGGGGGTATAATCCAGATATAACCCTCCTGTACCCCTGAATAACCTCTGACGTACGCAGTGCTGCGTAGTGCGTAGTCTTATGTACGCAAATATTTTCTGCTTACGATTACATTTAAAAATTCCTCCTTTCCTCGGAAGATCGTCTTGATAGCCAGATAAACAGATTTTAGATGAAATTTCCACATTTTAATTCATCAAAAGTTAATATCTTTTAAATTATATTTCTGCTATCAAATTAATTAAATTTAAGAAAATTTGGTTCATAATCACTAAAAGTTCAAATTTCCTCCTTTCCTCGGAAGATCGTCTTGATAGCCAGATAAACAGATTTTAGATGAAGTTTCCACATTTTAATTCATCAAAAGTTAATATCTTTTAAATTATATTTTTGCTATCAAATTAATTTTAAGAAAATTTGTTCATAATCACTAAAAGTTCAAATTGTTATTTACAGGTTCTACGCGGCGGAGGTGGTGGCGGCACTGGAATACATCCACATGCTCGGCATCATCTACCGCGACCTGAAACCAGAAAACGTCCTCATCAGATCCGACGGTCACATCATGCTCACCGACTTCGATCTCTCCCTCAAAGCAGACATTGGCTGCTCCCCCACCGCCCAACTCATCCGCAACCACCAAACCCCCACCACCGCCGCCGCCCTCCGCCACTACAACCAACACAAACTGCATCCTTCCCAACTGCATCGTCCCCGGCGTGTCCTGTTTCCAACCAAACCGCCGCCGCCGCCACCAAAAATCCCACCGCCACGGCGGCCCCGCCGCCGGATTGGTGTTTGTCGCCGAGCCCATCGATCTCCGTTCAATGTCGTTCGTCGGAACTCACGAGTACCTCGCCCCTGAGATCGTCTCCGGCGAAGGTCACGGCAGCACGGTGGACTGGTGGACGCTGGGCGTTCTAATCTTCGAACTCTTGTATGGAACGACGCCGTTCAAGGGATCCGACAACGAGCTAACTCTAGCGAACATCGTCGCACGGGCGCTGGAGTTTCCGAAGGAGACAATGGTGTCGGCCGCCGCGCGGGATCTCGTCGCCGGACTTCTTGTCAAGGATCCGGCGAACCGGCTGGGATCCACTCTGGGAGCAACGGCGATTAAGAGGCATCCGTTCTTCAGCGGGGTGAATTGGGCGCTGCTGCGCTGTGCGGCGCCGCCGCACGTGCCGCCGCAGTTCTCGCCGGGCGCTGGTAGCTGCCGGAGTTTGTGGGACGATAGCTGTCCGGGGACGCCGGTGGAGTACTATTAATGACAATTATGAGGTGGAGTGGGGGTGGGGTCTTGGGGGCTGGAGAGCAGACTGCGGGTTTTTCGCGCCGGAAGAAGGGGAAAAGGGGTAGAGGGGAGGCGGTGGGGAGGGGTGTGGGCGCGGAGGTGGGCCACGTGGTTGCATGCGGGAGGGGGGTTATTTGAACGGGTGCAGTGTTGGTCCGCTGATTTTGCGGTTGGAATTGGTTTGGGGAGGATTTACGAACATGCCACTTAATTTTTATGTATTTATATTTCTAACAGTTCAGCTTTAAATTAAAATAGTGTTATTTTTAGTTTGGTATAAAAATTTTGGGTGGTATAGATGTGTAAGGTGAAGTATAGGTGTTAGATATGTCAATGTATGGGAATTGAGTGGTATGTATGTAAATATCCCTTTATATAAATAGGATTATAGCATTAAACCTTTTTTTTTTTTTTTTGTGAAATAAAGTTGTTTTTAATATTGTTGTCTCAGATAAAGAGAGAATAAGATTATGTGTGGGTTTTATGTTTTGTTCTAGTTGAATTCGAATCTGTCTTGTGAGTCACATCGAAATAATGGAGTGTAAAAAATTGCTTTTTTATAGCTAGAAATGATCTCCTATTTATAGAAAATGGGATATGGAGTGAACAAATGCATGCTTGTCCCTGTTTTGGAGTGTTATGAAGAGAAACTTGGGACTTCTTGAGGGTTCTTATGAGGCGGCTCGATATATTGATGTGAGAGTTGGGTTGATGTCTTCTTTTGGTTCGATATTCTTGATATTCGCCTCTAGTGGCTTTCATTGGACCAGCTTTGGATCATGGTGTAAGGAAGTTGTACTTGGCCCGTCAGACTTTTTAGCCCTCAATTGAAGTGATTTTTAATATTTGTTATTACCACTCTCTATTATGTGAACTAAGACGATGTCGCAGTTTATAAGTTCTTCTATAGCTAATGGGTATAACAATCATTTGGCTATGACAAGTGTTTAACTGATCATCTTATATGAGTCATTGTCTATATATATTCAATAACGTATATGAGTTGAGAGGGATAAAGGGGAGAGAAATTCTGAGAGGAAGGTGAGGAACCAAAAAAGCTTGTATCGAGATCAAGATCGATAGAGAACTAGAGGAGATTGATTCGTCCCTGAATTGTGCGGTGTAATATCCAAGAAAGTCCTAATGAATTGTTTCTTGATTCCCTCCCGTGAATGTAGGTCTTATGAATCGAATCAGTTCTTGATTCCCTCCCGTGGATGTAGGTCTTATGAATCGAACCACGTAAGTTCTTGATGTTCTTATTTGCATTTTCTTTTCAATTTTCTTTTCCCATTTTGTCATATGTTGAATTTGCACAAGGTCGTGTTGAAGCATTGTTATATACAGTTCCCTAATATAATTAGCTGGGATTAAATGCAAATAATGAGGTTGGGATTAATAATGAATGTGTCCCTAGTGATGACATATATGTACGTGAAGGGAAGGATCGGTGATCGAGACTGTGTAGCGTGCGGTGGATTGCAGCGCATCCAATTCAAGGGGATACAGAGCAGTAAGTAGATGACGGGGAAGTACACTCTTATCCACATGCTATCTATTTTTATGGCTACGGCTGTTAGGTTGTAGCTGGATGCCTCGATGTCCGACAGTGCCCGGATATGGATTTTATTGTCCTTTGCCCTCAAAATCATATTCAAGATTTATGTAAATATCCCTCCATTTTTATGTATTTATATTTTTTAATAATAATCTATTATATATATATATATATATATATATCTGTGTGTGTGTGTGTGTGTGTGTGTGTGTGTGTGTGTGTGTGTGTTATTTTATGTCATTAGGGTTCAGTTTTGCTTTCAGAATTTTTTGCTGTCGACATCTTTTCCCTTGCTACGTT